ATATATTAATATTTATTTTAATAATTTTATATAATTTTATTTTATTAATTTTGTATATTTTTATTAATATAAATATATAAATGTATATTTTTATATAAATATATTAATAATATATATATTCCTTATTTAAATATATACTTTAACCCTTTGCACTCCGAATTATATTTCAATTTTGTTTTCAGCAGATTCCAATAATTTTAAATATTTATTTAAAATTTACTTTAATTGAAAAATATGGTAATTTAAACATATTTTAAAGGAAGAAATAAATGAAATAAAATGTCCATTTTATTTTCATTATGTTATATTTTGTAATTTTCAAAGTTATTATATCTTTTGAGGTAAAAGCCGATGTCGAGTCACACTCGACATAGGAGTGCAAAAGGTTAAGTACACTAAAAGTTAAATTACAATAGAATAATAATTAAATATATTTCTCAGGTAAAAACACGAATTATATATATATTTATTTTTATATGTATGGTATCGTATGTAATCAGTATAAATTAATTTTATATGAACAATACACATAAATTTATTTAATTTGCATATACTAAATGATTCTGATTGATACTATAGAAATCAAAACTGATAGTTAGACACGATCTTGCGGTTAGAACAGTAAATGTACTATAGTATACTATATCGGAATTCGATTTACTATTGTATAAGTAGCTTACCGTTAATCTTTTATCCGGATCAACCTCTATCATTCCTCGAAGTAAATTCTGACATTCTGGTGGTACGAAGTGTGGTATGTAAAACACACCACGTTTAACTTTCTCTAATAATTTTCTTAAATTATCGTCGTCGAAAGGTAACGCTCCAACTAAAAGTGCATAAAGTATAACACCGCAAGACCATACGTCTGCTTTTCTACCATCGTATTTTTCACCCTGAAAAAAAAAAAAAAAAAAAACAAACCACGCAACATTAGAAGAAGAAAAATAATAAATTCCATTTGGAATTTATTTAGCAATTTTTTATTTTTATTTTTTTTTTTTTTTTTAAGTTAACGAGAACAACGAATAATAAAGTATACAATTTTTATTCTCATTTAAATGACAATACTTACTCTGATTACTTCGGGACAAGCATAATGAGGCGAACCACAGCTTGTTTCCAACATCGAACCTGCTGGCTGCAACGACGCCATTCCAAAGTCCGCTATTTTAATATTATTCTTCTCGTCCAATAACAAATTTTCAGGCTTTAAATCTCTATGACTGAAAAAATCAGAAGAAGAAAAAAAGGAAAAAAAAAAACAAAACAAAAAAGAAAAGAACAACAACTTCTGAGTTTGTATTCAGTTTATAAAACGAAATCGTAATTATCGTATATAATATATTAAAAATTATTATAAATTATTATCGCTGATAATTATGACATTGGCATAAACAAAAAAAAGAATTATAATATTATTTTCTAAAATTTATTATTTTTATTATAAATAATTTTAATATTTATTTTATTATTTTTTTTTACAAAATTATTATTTTATGAATTATTAGTTTTGATCACAATTAAAGTGACAATATTATAATATTTAATATTTTAAATTATATTATTATATTATATGTATATATATATTATTATATTATTACAGATATTATATATAATTAATTATATAATAATACAATTATTTATTCTAATTAATATTAAAAAATTAAATATTAAGTAAATTATATTTTATCATATAAATAATATAATAATTATATATATTATAATTTATACATATATATATTATATTATTATATATATTATTATATTGTATAATCCCAATTTTATTTTTTTTAACTTATGCTAATGTCATAATTTCCATTGCTTATCTGCGATAAAGAAAACACTGATATCTTTTATTCGTTCGTAAGAATGAATGAGGGGAATATTCGATCGAGGAAGTCAATGTTACTTGAAGGGTGGGCTAGGTGTCTTCTTCTTCTTCTTCTTGTAAAATTAGGTCTAACCCAAAAGAGAGAAAATGTATTCGATTGAAGGCACCGTTTTCTTGATACGCTTTGCCAACTAGGACCTTTCCGAACTTCACCCTAACCGGTGTACGTGTATGTGTGTGTGCCCTTTGTTTTGCTTCCTTTTTCCCCCCATTCTTCCTCTGTTTCCATAGCCCTCTCCTCCACCCACACCCCCTTCCCTTCCCGTCCCTTTATTTTCACCCCTTTAAGAAACAAATCCTTAACCCAATTCGTAGAACTCATAGTAGAGTGAACAAGATCGTTTCAACTTACGTAACTGAATATTACGTTTCTAATTTTAATAAAATTTCTTAAGAAATTTTAAATAGGGGTAGATTTGTAAATTGTATTATGTATTATTATAGTAACGTTTGAGAGTATTCGTATACAGTTTGCATTTATTATTATTTCACTTATTTTTATGTGAAATAAATGAAAGAATTAAAAAATTATTAATCTGAGTTACACACGAATGTTCATATCAGAAAATAATAAAATAAATGTTTAGAAATTATTTTGGTTTTTTATCTTTTTAAAATTTTGAAATTGTAATTAAATTTTGCAGATGAATATTTCTATTTTAACAGTTTATACAAAGATTTGAAGAAATTTGTAACATTTGATAACATTTGGAATAAATTTGTATGAATTATTAAATATTTTGGACGATTTTTATAAAAAATAAAATATTTTAGTTCCACGATAAGGCAACAATGTTGAAAAATTTTCCAATATTATAGGAAAATATGATTTGTATGGAAAAATGTAATGTTCACTCTTCCTGAATCAGGGGCAACCACTTCACGAATTAAATATAATTTTTCCTCTCGTCACATTTTTCTTATTTATCGTAAAAAGTAACCAAATTATTAGGTTGTCCGGAAAGTTCGTGCCGATTTTGATAGAAGATTGAAACGCAACACATTTAAGTATTTTTTTTTTGGTATATATTTATTAAATTATATATAAGTGCGATTCCGTTCTAAAATCTTTCTCTATCTTTAAAGGTAACTTCAAAATTTCGGCCTTCCAGAACTTCTTAGGTTTTTTTAATAAAATAACTTTATGCCACTTACCGAAAATCGGCACGAACTTTCCGAACAATCCAATATTTGCAGTTAAGATAATAAAACATTTATGGTTGAACATTAACTTACCATATGCTATGGCTATGGCAAAAGTCTAATGCGGAAATGATTTGTCGAAAAAACCTTCTGGCCTCTTTCGGCGTTAATCTACCCTTCTTAACCAGATAATCGAAGAGCTCTCCACCTGATACGTGTTCCAGTACAAGGTATCTGCATAAAAAAAGAAGGAACAAAAAAAAAACAAAAAGGAAAAGAAATATAAACGAACAAGATCAATAAATTATTTCCGATAAAAAATTCATTTGAATCATCAAAAAAAAAATATTTTTCAATTTTTTTTTTCATTTATAGGAATTACAATATAACGATTTCTTAAATGTAATAAATTTATTAAATGAATTTATTAAATAAATTTGTTTATGAAAGTGATTGACTTACAGATATTTCTTATTCTCGTACACATCGGAAAGGCCGAGAACGTGGGGATGATCAATTAGCTTCATAATGGCGATTTCGCGTTCAACTTTCATCAACACGGACTCCGACAATTTTTCACGGTTGATGATCTTGATCGCCACCTTTTTGCCCAACACGCAGTGAACGCCCAGTTTGACCAATCCTTAACAAATTATGTACAAAAAAAAATTAGATAATAAAAACACAAGAAATATCATTTCAATGCAATTATAAACGTTAATTTTTATTTTATATTTTTTGTAATCGTTGCATCCATTCCAACCCCTGCATAAGAATAATCGACATTTGACGTTGTCTCTAAGTACACGAATTATCTAAACTTCTCGTGTTACTTTTAAGTACTTAGATAATAATAAGAAAATAGGAATCATTCGATCTATCCACACCATACTCGAATTTCTCCTATCCCATTTTACCCTTTGAACCTTTAACTTATATTTGTGGACGGGGGTTCGATTCCATGGTTGGAATATGAACGCACGTGTACACAACTAACGTTCTCGAGTAAACATCGTTTCTCGAGTGGTTTCATATTTCTACCACTTATATATAATACAATAGTATAGTATATATATTTACTAGGATGCTCCGGCTACTCCTTGCTCCTGCGGCTTTGTTATAAAAAATGTTAATTTAATATAATTCTAAATTATTTAATAAATAATAACAACACACAAAATAATACCACAATTAGAATGGAATACATAAAATACTAATACTGAAAAAAATATAAAAAGCAAGGTTAGTTATGTCATATGTAAATCTGAAAAAAACGTATGACGTGAATATATCCAAATAATTGAATTGGTATACAGCGCCATCTATTGAACGTTGATTAAATGTAATTCTAAACTATTTAATTCAGTCAAATTAATATTCACTAATAATTTTTGAGACTTTAAATTAGGCATAAAGCAACATAAAATTATTTATATATATAATATATAATATATATAAATAACAACACACAAAATAATACCACAATTAGAATGAAATACATAAAATAATAGTATTCAAAAAAATATAAAAAGCAAGGTTAGTTATATCATATATAAATCTATGTAAAATGTAAATGTAAAATGTAAAAACTAAAATGTAAAAACTAATATGTAAAAACTATCCTATTGGGATCTCTGGCAGGGGCGTGGCATAGCAATTCGACCTATCTATTTTAATTTTGAATTTAGCCACCAGATAGCGTATTCAAGTGCTACAGATCCCAATATTCTAAGTTGAAAAAAATTACACAAAATAAAATAAGCATCGATCTTTGTTTAAAAGAGAGAGAGAGAGAGAGAGAGAGAGAGAGGGAGAGAGAGAGAAAGAGAGAGGGAAAAAGAAATAGAAATAGAATCAGAGATACATATCTCGAAATGATGATAGTAATTGCATCAAGCAAGTACTTCGACCTTTTTATTTCCATGTTACGAATCTGACAATTCTATTCGAGGCTCGTATAATCAAAATAAACGTCATTTGTTATCGGTGATCAAAAATATTACATTTCAAATTGTCTGATTGATAATGAATTATTTGAACTTGTAAATAAGTTTAACGATCTTAAGAAAAAAGAAAAAAGAAAAATAAATGTCGTTGTGGTTATTTCGAGAGAGAGAAAGAGAAAGACGTTCGTCTTGTAATTAAAATTAAAAAGACGAGGTTTGAATCGTTTTTAATGAGAAAAATAACACCCCTCTTCTTTTTTAAACCATTTATGAGCAGAAATAAAAATGTGTGTATGTGTATGTCAAGTAAAGTAAAACGGTATAGTCTAGACCGTTTTACGAAACGCATAATTAACCTATGAGAGTACTCTTACTTACGGAATTATTTCTCGTCTGCAGAGATACGTAGGGTGAATACAACCCTTAACACTTTTTACACGGTTCAAATATATCCTGTATAAAAGTTAACATTTTGTTCAATTATTTTCATTTGAATTTAATTATTTGCGTATTGGTATTTATATATCTTTATATATAAAAATTCAATATGTCACATTGTTAGTATTCAATGAACTTCGAAACTAATTAACCGATTTTAATGAAATTTTTTTTATTCTGTGTAATTTTTTTCAATTTAGAATATAGAATAATTGTTATTGCAATTATTTTTATATTGTATTGGTAATTTAAGGATTTATTATTTAAAGGTTATGTAAGTCTTTAAGTACTGTAATTTTTTAATAGATGGCACTGTATTGCAATTCAATTATTTTGATATATTCACGTCATACATTTTTTTTCAGATTTACATATGACATAACTAACCTTACTTTTTATATTTTTTTCGAGTATTATTTTTTTATGTATTTCATTCTATTTGTACTATTATTTTGTGTGTTGTTATTTATATATTAAATTTATATACAATATATTAAAAATTTTGGGATGTTAAGGAAATGGCATATGAAGACCGCGAATGGAAGGATCGCGCTCAAGGACAAGAACAATGGCGGGATTTGGTATTTGCGGCAATGAACTTCCGAGTTCCTAATGCCAACTAATAATAATAATAATAATAATAATAATAATAATAATGATAATAAAAAAAAATTTTATGTTGTTTTATATCTAATATGAAGTCCCAGAAATTATTAGTGAATTTGTCTCATTAAATAGTTCAGAATTATATTAAATTAACATTTTATAACAAAACCACAGTAACGCGTGGCAGTAGATGGTGCTGTATTAGAATTCAATTATTTGGATATATCACGTCATACTTTATTTTCAGATTTACATATGACATAACTAACCTTACTTTTTATATTTTTGCCTATATTATTATTTTATGTATTCCATTCTAATTGTAATATTATTTTGTGTGTTGTAGTATTATTTTGTATTGTTATAATATAATAGTTTAGGATTATATGAAATCAACATTTCATAACAAAGTCATAGCAACGCGTGGCTGGACCATTCTAGTATATATATATATGTTCTTTGTTAATTTAATTTGATTAATTTGGAAATCATATCCATGATATTAATACTTATATTATAAAATATTTGATTCAACATTATTGCAAAAGTAATATATCATATATGACTGATTTTATTATTAAATATAAATATACGGTATCTTATTAAATTTTATATTGTAGATAAATTACTTGATTTTTATTATGCTTTATTAATTTTTTTTTTTATTCTTTCCTCTTTAGGTGTTATCTCTATAGTTGAATTTTAATTATCAATAAAGTATCAATCGTATTATCACGATATTCGCGTTAAAACGTAGTCTCCACGTATCTTTTATGCAATTACGATGGTAACCGTGATTCTATATAGTTATATTCAGTACATAATTGACTTAGCAAGACTCTGAGGTAAAGTTCGCGTTGACGCACACACTCTCTCTCTCTATCTTTTGAACACATTCTCGTGTATTCCTAATGCATCTTATTCTTGCATATGGTGCAACGAGGTAAATTGCCTATTAAAATAGCAATATCTGATGAAAATGCATAGAATTGAATTCTAACTTAACACATACTGACAATTATTATTTCTATTAAATTATACGAATATAATTATTAGGTTGTTAAAAAAGAAAGTCTAAAATATATACAATGAGTCACAAAATTATTCGTATAACAATTGTTATAAATTATAAACAATCGATATTTCCTTGCAAATGCAATTTTATTAAATTCCAATGATTCTAAATGTTTTTTTTTTTTTTTTTTTTATTGAAAAAGTATGATAGCAACGATTCAAAAAAATTTTCAAGAAAAAAAATCCTCCGAAACCGTTTATTTTGGTCTAAAATAAAAAATAAAAAAAATGAAAAAATAAAAAAGGTACTGATACGGGGTTGAAAAAAGGGTTTTACTTTGTTCTCAGAGAATATTCACGTTTCGAAGTGGTAAATGCATTATCGATGGACAACACATACATCCCACATCCATAGACTGCATCAATTGTGGCAGATGAAACGTGTTCTAATCGAAGATGGATATTTCAAGGGGAGATATCACACAAGGCTTACAAGTCTACTACAGTACGATATCTGACGTGTAATTTCGTGACTGGCGTCGACTGGGGCCTCACTTCCCGCCAAATCGAATAGAATTGCATTACTGCCACGGATGGACATTGAAGTGCACTTTCACTAACGACTTGCATCACGCACAATTTATTGATATCGACTCGATAGTGACACATTGCATTATTTCATAGTTCTCTAAATTCTAATATCTGTTTTTTCTTTTTTTTTTTTAACAATTTTTTTTAAAAACATATGTACAGATAAATTGTACCCGATTGTATATTGCAAATAATTGAGCAAAATTTTAAGAATAATTTTGAAATGTTAAAATAATAAAAAATAATCTTTAAATGTATTCGTGTAAATTGTTTTCTTATATTTAAACAATTTTATTTAGAAACATTTACAGTTAAATATATATACATGATTGTATATTGCAAATATTTCAGTATAATTTTACAAATAATTTTGAAATGTTAAAATAAAAAATAATCTTTAAAATGCAATCCATGTAAATTGAACATTAACACGTTTTCCTGTATTTTTGATCTCACATTTTACGTTAAATTATTATGATTTCTTTTTTTAATAAAAATGTTCTTACTTTATTCAATTATTTCTTTTCTATTGATAAAAATGGAAAGAATTTTTCTGATTAATATAGGTTATTTAAATTTTGTAAAGATACAAATTATGCTAACATTAGTAAACAAAATGTTTATATGATAACACACATGCAATAACGAGTTATACGTTTACCAGAAAATATAACATCGAGGAAGCCCCGTTTATGTAGGTGTAGTTATTCTTGTACATCTGTCAGAATGTCTCTCTCGGAAAGTTTCGTACTTGAATCTATGTCAAAGCGTTAGAACTCGACATCCTTTTTAAGTAATTCCTTCTACCCGATGTTTCTACGTTAATAATACATACTTTTATATATACAGAATGACTCAAAAATCTCTAAACTATTTTAAAATAGAATCATTTTTTACTTTAATAAACAATTTAGAAATTATTTTTAATTAGATTTATAGGTTATGTTATTAAATGACGACTATTTTGTTCTGGAAAATGGTGAGATCTTGAATGGCCGCTTCTCGCAATGGTCTAGTGATTTTTGAGCCACCCTATATATGAATAGCT